CCATTTCCCCCCCTTTACTCCCCTCCACCCTGAACCTCCCTCCCACTAGCATGCCCCCCACTTAGTTCATGTCCGTAGGTCGTACATACAAGTTCTTTGGCTTCTCTATTTCCTATACTATTTTTAAAAAATATCTTTTAAATTATTTATTTATTTATCTTTAGAGGGGAAGGGTTAGGGAGAGAAATATCAATGTATGGTTGCCTCTCGTGCGTCTCCTGCTGGGAACTGGCCTGCAACCCAGGCATGTGCCCTGACTGGGACTCAAACCATGATCCTTTGGTTCGCAGGCCCACGCTTAATCCGCTGAGCTACACCAGCCAGGGCTCCATTTCCTATACTAGTCTTAACCTCCCCTTATTTTGTATTTCGTTCTTATTCCCTGTATCTTTTCCCCCATTGCTCCTCTCTGCCTCCCTGCTGATAACCCTCCATGTGATCTCCATTTCTGTGATTCTGTTCTAGTTGTCTGCTTAGGTTTTTGGGGTTTTTTTTTAGGTTTGGTTGTTGCTAGTTGTGTTTGTTGAAATTTTACTGTTCATAGTTTTGATCTTTTTCATAGATAAGGCCCTTAACATTTCATATAATAAAGGCTTGGTGATGATGAACTCCTTTAACTTGACCTTGTCTGGGAAGCACTTTATCTGCCCTTCCATTCTAAATGAAAGCTTTGCTGGAGAGTCCTCTTGGCTGTAGGTCCTTGCCTTTCATAACTTCAAATACTTTTTTCCAGCCCCTTCTTGCCTGCAAGGTTCCTTCTGAGAAATCAGCTGACAGTCTTATGGGCTTACCTACTCCTTTGTAGGTAACTGCCTCCTTTTCTTTTGCTGCTTTTAGGATTCTCTCCTTCTCTTTAATCTTGGGTAATGTAATGATGTGCCTGGTGTGTGCTTCCTGGGGCCCAACTTCTTTGGGACTGAGATTCCTGGATTTCCTGGAAGTCTATCTCCTTTGCCAGATTGGAGAGGTTCTCCTTCATTATGTTTTCAAATAAGTTTTTAATTTCTTGCTCTTCCTCTTCCCCTTCTGGCACCACTATGATTCGGATATTGGAATGTTTAAAGTTGTCCCGTAGGTTCCTAAGCCTGTCCTCATTTTTTAAAAATTCTTTCTTCATTCTGTTCTGGTTGAATATTTATTTCTTCCTTCTAGTTCAAACTGTTGATTTGATTCCCAGTTTCCTTCCCATCACAGTTGGTTCCCTGTACATTTTCCTTTATTTCACTTTTCATAGCTTTCACTCTTTCCTGTATTTTGCGACCATGCTCAACCAATTCTGTGAGCATCCCGATTACCAGGATGTGCCTCTGATAGGTTGGCTGTCTCTTCATCACTTAGTTGTATTTTTTTCTGTAGCTTTGATCTTTTTCATTTGGGGCATTTTTTTTGTCTTCACGGTGCACTTGTTACGTAATAAGGGGCATAGCCTTAGGTATCCCCCAGGGCAGGACAACCGTCTTTGCTGCATTGTGGTGCTGTACGTGGGGGAGGGGTCCGAGAGGGAACAGTGCCACTTGCTCAGGTCTCAGCCACCTTTGTGTCACTTTCTCCGCTCCCCACAAGCAAACTGGGCCCTTGTGGCACTGATTCCCAGGTGGGTGGTTTGTGTACATTCTAGGGCCCTGTGCGTCTCTCCAATGGACTCTGCTGTGAGGCTGGGAGTTTCTCCCGCTGCCTCAACCCCCACAGGTTTTTACAGCCAGAAGCTTTGAAGCTTTATTTCCTTGAGCTGGAACCAGGGGGTGTGCTCCTGTCTCGCTCCCCAGTTGTTCCTCCGTTCGTCTGCACGTGAACGTCGGACTGCCCACTCCAGCAGCTGCTGCCTTGCCACGAGTCTTCTCCGCCACTCCTTCCAGTCTGGCTGAATGTTTCTTCTTTAACTCTTTGGTTGTCGGACTTCCATACAGTTGGATTTTCTGGCAGTTGCGGTTGGTTTTTGTTTTTAGATGTGTTGTTGCCCTTCTTTTGGTTTTTTTGAGGACAAAAAAAGACACACTGTGTCTGCCTATGCCTCCGTTTTAGATGGAAGTTTCCTCCTGATTTTTTATCCACTGCACTTGGGTGTGGGACCAACCTGTTCCACATCTGCACCCCTCCTGCCAGTCTGGATAGGTGTGGTTTCTTTAATTCCGTGGTTGTCAGACTCCCATTCAACTTGGTTTCTGCCGGTTCTGAGTGGTTGTTCTGTAGTTTAGTTGTAATGTTGATGTGGTTACAGTTACATTATACTGTAGTCTATTAAGTGTGCTAAAAAGAACTCTAAAAACAACGTACTGTACCTTAGAACAGGCCAATCCAGAGACAGAAAGCAGATGAGTGGTTACCAGGAGATGAGGTGGGAGGAAATGGGGAGTAATCTCTTAATAACTATGAGGTATTCTGGGGGGTGTGAGGAGGTTTTAAAACTAGAGGTGGGTTGTAGCTGCCCAACATGGCCAATGTACCCACCCACGTGCCACTTTATGGTGGCTCGATGTATGTTATGTGTTTCCTGAATAAAAACAAAGAAAACTTAAGGACTAGATGCCACTAGCAAATTTGACTGCATGTGGAAGGGAAGCTGCTGATGGGACCCCTGTCCTGTGTCCTCAGGACACGTGGGCAGCAGGCACCCGGAAGCCTTGGCAGCTTGTGTCAATTAAACCACTTGACTCAGCAACCTCAGCCCCTCACTCCGATAATTTATCCAAAACAAACCTATGATCACCAGCATATCCAAGTTTGGAGCCTTTTTTAGCATTTCCAGAATCTAGAAATGTGCCAGCTGCTCTCCTGACTGAAGGAATGAATGGACAGCCTGGGAGGTCTGGGCGCTGGGTGAGCTACTGACCCAGCAGCACAGGTGGCTGTCGGAGCCTCACTGCGGGGTCACACCCAGGCTCAGAAGCCTCTGTCCTCCCCGCCCAGCCAGGCTGCAGTGTCCCTCCTCCCCCTGGTGCCTGTGGGTGTGACCTCATTGGGAAACATGGTCTTTGCAGTTGTGCTCGGGTTAAGACAAAGCCATTAGCCTGGGCTCTGGTCCAGCAACCGTGTCTTCCGAAGAGGACGCTGGTCCCGCCCGCAGGGGGCAGAGGCCTGGGACAGACCTGTCCATGCCCCGAAGGGACCAATCCTGCCAACACCCGGGTGCCACTTCCAGCCTCCAGAGCTGGGAAGGGAGAACTTTCTGTTGTGCCAAGCAGCCCCGCGTGGAACGTCGTCACGGTGGCGCCAGATGTCCGTTACAACAGGCGGAGGGTCAGTGGTTACGCGGGGCTGGGGGCTCCCTTCATCTGACGACACTCCTAGAACGGTGCGCTCCCTGGAAAGAGTGTCTGTGAATTTTAAAAGAATTAAAAGCTCCAACGACCTCTTCCCCTTCGGGTGATCGGCACGTAGGCGCGTGTGCCAGTGCGGAGCTGAGCCGGTTTGGGGCAGCAGGACCACGTGGGCGACACCTGCAGACACTGTGCTCAGGGGAGGAAGCCAGGCACACGAGGTCGCTGTCGCATGATTTTGCTCTGCGGCTAAAATGTCCGCAAGGGGCCGCTCCACCGACAGAAAGGGGCGCGGAGAGCAGCGGCGCGGGTGGGTGCGTTTCGCCAGGCGACGACAGTTTTGCCCCGGAGAGGGTCGCGACGAGTGCTGAGCTGGCTCCTTGCGGTGGTTCTCGGGGCCACTTCCTGTGTCCAGGGGCTCGGCCTTGGTCCCGCGAGAACCCCGGTAACCTGACAGGAGACGGGAGACCGCAGACGCACCCCCGCCCTACCCCCAGGCTCCCCGGAGCCCAGCTCGCGCGCCCGGGCCCGCCCCGATGATGCCCCAGCCGGCGCTGTGTCCTGGTTGTGCCTACCACCGTGAAGGCGGCCTGTTCCCGAGTCCGTCAGCTTGGTGGGGTCGGTTGCCTTGGGGGAGCCCCCAGGCTGCGGGGCTCTTGCCCGGGTTCCCCACACGCGGAGACCCCCGCGCACCCCCTTTGCGGACGTTTGTCCAGGTGGAGGTGCACTCGGAAAAATATAAACTAGTGATTGTACGGACGTAGAGGACTCGCCTGCGCCCCTAACCAGTCGGGCCCTGGCGTCAGCGAGGGAGAGGAACCCACAAGGCGCAGGACACGTACCTAGGGCATGTGCCTGGAGCCCCTGGGGGAGGGGTTTGCTACGCGCATGCGTGACTGGCGGCCGCTCGCTGGCGCGCGGAGGCGCGGGGGAAGGCAAACCCGAGCTCGTCCCTGACCCCCACTGGATTCTGGGAGAGGCCTTCTGAAACGGAGCACGCAGGCGCAGTGGCGCTTGGTGGTTTCTCCTCTTCCCCGCAGGGGCTCTGTGCTCCGTCCCCTGGGAGGACCAACTCCGAAAGGTACGTGGAGCTGGGGTGCAACTGGACACGCACTGAGACCCCCACGCTCTCGGTACTTCCACTTCCGGTGGGAGAAGCGGTTCCCGGCGCAACATTTAACTGGCCGAGAGTGACGAGTGACGGTGATTTTTTTCTTTGGGTGTCTTACAAGGAACGGGCTGTGAGGCAGACGCTTGGTGTTATTTCCAGACCTTGGTGGTAACAGCACTGCGAACGGGTTTTTGCCGCTTTCCGTTCTCGCACCTACAAGTAGTTGTAAGGACATATTGTTGATGTCATCCCTTTCCTTCCCCCGTCGCCCAGGCGTGTCAGGCAGAAAGCTGCCATCAGACTCTCCTTTCCCACCGAACCCTGTCTTTGGAGGCCCGCCTGCTAGGCGGCGAGCACAGGGACGGTCAGCCCTGCTGGCTGGCTTTAGTAACAGGCGGACGACTCGCCCACCACGTGACAGCCAACACAAACAGCCATGCACAGAACTCTGCCCCTCTGCCCCAAGCGGGGGCTCAAAGGTCGGTCACCCTCATGCAGCGTGGTCGGGTGTCCTGGGGCCCTGGTTTCCACCCCGCCCAGCAGCCCCACGGCAGCGTCTATGACTCGACCTGCTTCTCAACACCAGGGGCTTGGAGTTGTAACATAATTCTTTTCCCTTGAGGGGTACAGAGTACAACAAAATTAGTCACTTTTATTTAAAAGAAACATTAAAAACAAGTGTGCAAAATTAAACTGCATGATTAAATACACATGAGGGAACATGCATACCTGACATTGAAACCCACATACAAAGTTAGTTGGTTACATGACAGTAAAAGAACAGGCAAAACGGACAACTTGCTGCAGCAGTTCTAAATGTTCGCAACGTGAACTGAAAACTGAACTAGGTTTCTTCAAAGGGAATTTAAGAAAATCAAATACAGACCTCAAGTAGCACGGACACTGGGGAGCCCACAACCTACTTTAGTGACTGCGTGTTAAGAACAGGGTGGGAGCTGCTCACCCTTGGGACAGCAGTGTGCGGCGCTGGGAGATGGGGAGGTTGAGACGGGCACCAAACCTGTCCCTTCACGTTCTCCACATCAGGTGACGCTGTCTTGTGACTGATTTTTAAAGTCTATGTGTGACTCTGCTCCCCGCACACACCAGGGAGGCTCAGTGTCACCAGCAGCTTTCCCAGAGACCCAGGCGAGGCTCACGTGCCCTGCCCACGGGTGGGCCTGGCACCGGCCTCAATGCCCACAGCCACCCCGGGAGACAGGACGCCGGCACTGGTGGGGGGGGGGCGGGCACTCGCGGCAGGCTGAGGGCCAAGACGCAGGGCTCCCGAGGGAGGGAACGGCCCACCTGTGCTCTGACCCAGCTGCATCTCTGCTTCAGGTTCAGATGGGAGACAATACCTCTCTCCTTCCCTAAGGCTGCTGCTGGTATTGCTACTCTTGAAAATCTGGCTGTAGCGTGAGAACTAACATCTACACATCTGTTCACTTCCCCATCACGGACTCAGTGAAAATAATGGAATCTGTTCCCAAAACAAACTTGGGTGTGTCCACCCTCGCACCCGCCCAGGCCCTCAGTCTGTGTGGCGTCCCGGTGCAGGTGCAGGAGCAGTAGGTCCGTACAGCGGCCATCACTGGTACACCACTGGTGACAAACCAGCGTCCGGCTCGGGCTCCTCAGAGCCACTTGAGTGTCCGTGGTGCCTCGATGATGATTCTCCCTTTAATACTGGAAACGCGAAGCCTTGCTGAGGAAAACAGACAACCGCATATGGCTTCGGGGCCAAGGTCCCCGGCAGTCCCTCCAGTCCATTACCCACAAGGCCCCAAGGGTGCCGGCACCAGCCCCAGGAGTCTGGGCGCACTCAGCACTTTGGGGGTTCTCAGTGGTGGGTGCTGACTGCTCTGCAGGTGCAGAGTCACAGCTTGTCATCGGTCATCTCTAGGAACTGTGCGTAGACATCTCGGATGCACTCCCCCTTGGGGTTGAACAGGAACTTGTAGTAGCTGCCGTCTGCACAAATTGCTGTGACAAAAAAAGGGCCATTTTACTCACGTTTCTTCCCATGAAGTTCAAAGCAAAAGGCTCTGTGCAGCCCAATGACCAGCGGCCCAGTAGAGCCCTGAGCAGCTAACTTATACTTGGATTTGTGGACAGCCAGGGGTTCCCCTTCCTGAGCCTGAATGTGGCCAAGAGTCCCAACTACTCTGGGAGTGTTGGTGATACAAAAACAAGCCCACTGACCTGCCCCCAGGATTCCCTGGGAAAGCCCAGAGGGTAGGGAGCTGCTCACATCCTGCGTGGCTGTGCAGCCCTGAGGGGGACGCACGGTGACCCCAGGAGGCAAGAAGGGGCCAGCGAGCTGGGTCAGCACAGACTGAGGGCAGGGGATCCAGCTGCGTCCGGGGGGACCACTCACCAATGACGGCGTTTGGCTCCGTTCCAAAGGCACAGATGCACGGAGAGCCCGAGGGCACCTGAAACTTGGAAAAGCTCCACTTGGAACTAAAGTATTTCGGAAGAAAACTGGCTGATGCCAAACTGTGGGGACAGGAAAAGAAGTCACCACGTTAAAACACAGCTCTCTCCAACACAGTCTCAGCCTTGCTCAAACTCTATTTCCACATGAAAAACCACGTCGTTACAAATAACTGTGTGAGAGCCCTTTGGCTGCAGGAGGCACAGGTTTCTGTGGCATGTCAGTTACTGATCTTCTGAACGCAGTGAACAGAGACGCCGCAGGAGTTCAGGACCAAGCCTGGACCCTCAACGGACGCTTCTGAAGGCACAAATGGTGGTGGTGGTGGGGGTTGTGATACCACGGTTTTAGTGTCAGACCGTCTGCTCTGGTTTCAACGGCTGAAACTATGCAGAAGACCCTACCCTGAAGCAACAGTTAGTCCCCTTCACACTGGGAAACCTACCTAGACTGTTTATTCCGCTTTGGATCTTCCGCGGCAAAAATGTGCACTGTGCCGTGGTCACTGGACACGCAGATGAGGGACGCGTCCTGATTGAAGTTAATGCTGCGGGGAAACCAGACGTGCTTGGGCTCCGTGCGGGAGCCGAGGAGCCCAGCCCCAGCCCTGACCCCGAGCTGCCACCTGCCAGCCTGCCCTTCCCGTTCCCGACAGCCAGTTAGGGGTCGTGACAGTCCCGCAGTGCTCCCCTCCCCAGGTGCACAGACTGGGCTGGATTCTGGGGACAGGGAAGGGCTCCCTGCGGACTGCTTCCTCCACATGCCACTCAGGTGAGAAAAGCTCCACCTCTCTGACTGCCCCGCCCCCGGGGGCGCCTCAGCTGGGCTGGGGAGGCACCTGCTCCACTGGGGGTGCCCTGAGAGCAGACCCACAGGAGAGGCGCTGGGCACCACGGCCTGCAGGCACACTCACGGACTTCACACTCAAGTCACTTTTTTTACACATGGACTCAAATGCTGCTCGGCAGCTACAGAGCCACAGGTGCCAAGAACGAAGCCCGGCCCGGGAGGGGTCCAGCCCTCCTGCGCCGCACACAGTGGGGGCTGGAGGCCGCACACAGTGGGGGCTGGAGGCCACCACACATGGAGAGCAGCCCAGTCCCTCAGAGAAGGCTCCAGCAGTGACCGCTGGGCCAACCAGGTCTCAACACACAGTAGGCTGGAGGGAACGTGAGGAGGGAGAATGGCCAATGCTGATCAATGCTCAAGCAGAGGGATGGGTTCACAGTCATAACGTTCTTTCCACTTTTGTGTATATCCCCATAATAGATGTTAAAACCAGTAATAATAAAATGAACTGAAGCTCAACCTCCCGCAGAGCAGGCCGCCTCCTGCCTGGGGGCGGGGGCCCTGGCCGGCCCCCCCGACACACAGGCCCACTCAAGGCGGCAGCCCACAGCAGCGGCCTCCTCTGGGGTGAGATGCTGGTCGTCCTTACCAATAAATGTTCGCTGCTTGAGACCCTCTTCGCAGCTCCTGGATTAAATGCCCTGATGAAGTATCAAATATTCTGATAAGGGTCCCCTTTGAAAAACAGTGAAGTGTTTCATTATCACAGATTCACAGCGTTGTAGTCAGTTCTCAGTGACTGACACTCACACACCCACAGCCTTCCCCCAGACCCCCCTCCCCGTCACCTAAACCCCGCTTCTCCCTCCGTCGTGCCCAGGAATGGGCTGCTGGCCCCGTCGTCCGACAGCTCTGGGCAGGGGCCGGGGGGCACGAGGGGCACTTCGGACCCTGGGCAGACGCCTGGGGAGCCACCCTCCCCCTCGAGTGCTGTCAGCTCTGTGTCTGGAGTGGCGGTGTCTGCAAGGGACTCCCGCGCACCAGAGAAAGGAGCACCGCTCAGGGCGAGGGGCTGCCGGACTGGCTACGTACGGCTGGTTTCCTGTGGAGCCCACGGTGTGGGGGTTGGGGGGCTACAGGAGGCACGTGGCCTCCGGGAGGGCAGGGCCACGCGCTCACTTTTTCAGACGCGGTTGCGATTCTCGTCCCCTGCAGGTTGAGGGCAATGCAGCTCAGGACGCCCTCGTGGGCGGGAATGTCCACAGGCGGCTTCTCGGTGCTGGCCAGGTCCACCAGCTGCACGTGGCCGGTGTGCGCGCCCGGGAAGGCCAGCAGGGAGTTGTTGCTGTTTGGGCACAGGACACAGAGGCCTAGACGGAGACAGCGGAGACCGTCAGGGACCTGGCCACCCTCTAAGCCTCTGCTCTCCCACAGGCAGGGCCTTGTCCCACCCGTGCCCCAGGCGCCGGCTCCCGAGGCACGAACGGTCAGGATTACTTGTGGGTCTCCCCTTCTGTCGGAATGCCAGAAAGGGTGTCACGGGGCCGAGCACAGCCACCTCCCACGAGACCGTCTGGTAACTGGGAACATTTCCTGAACGGTCACTTTGCCCAGTGTCCCTCCGCGGTGCCCGGCCCTGAGAACGCAGAGCTGTAGAACTACACGCGCGGCGGAGAGCGGAGGCCCGACGGCCGGGCTGCACGCGCTCCTCCGCCCACCCCGAGCGCGCACAAAGTCTCCCTCCGCGGGCTCTTTTGGAAGAAATAAACAAGCTGATACTAAAGTAAAGGCGAAAATCCTACAAGAGCCAAAAAATGTTTTGTAAAATAGGAACAAGATTGGAGGACTTACTGGAGCTACCTAGCTGCTAAAAATATTCTAAAGCTCCAGAAATCAAGGCAGCGTCATGTTGGCATAAGAATGGAAACACGGACCACTGGGAGAGAGTCAAGAGACCCCAGTTTGATGTCTTAACCGGAACACATAAAGAACTCTTAGACTCAGTAGTAAGGTAACAATTTTAAATCAGGCAAAAGACGTGAAACTACTTCACCATGACAATGCACAGACGGCAGTGACACCGTGGACGGGTGCTTGAGGGGCACCATAGCCACTCCCGCAGCAGCATCTGTAGGCAAAAGGCCGGTAACACCACGTGCTGGCAACCGGACCCCCACGCGTCACTGAGGGCACTGCAGCGCGACCAGCGTAGCAGGGCTGCTCCAGATGACATCGTTCGTGCTCGCAAGGGGACGCAGCAGCCCCGCTCCCCAGGGCACTGCTCAGGAGAAATGACTGTCCCTACAGAGGTCTGTGCGTCAGCATCCACAGCAGCTGCTGATCGTGATGGCTGAGAAAACTCGTGTGGACAAACGACTGTGGCCTACCTACCCGTCCCTCCCCGATTACTCAGCAACAAAAAGGAACAAAAGAACACTGCACGCGGAGGAACCCGAGAAACATTAAGCTCAAGAACAACACCGGCTGCAGCTGGAGAGGACGCAAGGGGCAGGCCCTCGCCGCTGGAGGACACTCACTGGGAGGCCGGGCTGCTCCGCCCTCACTGTGGTGGTCCGACACAACCTTCAACAACTGCTACCATTTTTCAAGTGATACATTCAAAATGAGTAAATTACACCTCGGGAAAGCTTGGAGAAAACGGAAGTTCTGGAAGGAAATTAAGCTGATAGCTGGAGTAATGAATGAGGTTCACCAAGAACACGCCCCCTTCGGGGAAATGAGAGAGACGCCCAGGCCCCAGCGGGGCTGGCAGCCGCCCTCGAAGGCCCTTGGGGGCCCCAGGACTCCCAGACTGCGGGGTCTGAGAGCCACTGCGCAGAGATGGCCTTTGGGGACAGAAGGATGAGCAAGTGGGGGAAGGGCCACCGGGGGAGGGGGAGGAGAAAGCGGGGGACCTCGGGTGCTTGGGCGCCTCAGGACCCCCCACCGCGAGCCCCTCAGACCAGCCAGCGGGTGACCAGGCCTCCTCGGACGCCTCACCTTTGGGGTTGTAGCAGGTCTCGAAGACGTGCAGCTGGTGGGGGTTGTGTGTGAAGGTGAAGACCTTGATCATGGAGTCCAGAACCACCACGACTCTGGAAGGGAGGGAGCAGTCAGCACTCTCCTCCCTGAAGCAAAACTCGAGCGTTTTGTGGCATCTGTTCCCGTCATTCCGAACCTTGCAAACTCCCACCACCGCAGCCAAAGGCACCAATCTCGCTCAGGTCGGGGGCCCTAGCAGGACAGGCCTTTGCAGCAGGGCCCCGGGAGCCGCCTGGGGCGTGGGCAGAGGTGGCCCCCACCTGTGCTGGGATGTGAAGGGATATCACCACCAACAGGCCCTCTGCTTTGAGAACCTTGTGGAACTCGGGGCAGAAAAACACTTCTGAGTGCCTCTGGACACGTCTGCGTAACTCAAGAGATGCCCGGGAGTGGGCTCCAGTCCTGGCACTGCTGAGGGTCCCTCCGTACTGCCAACACTGGGAGTGGCCAACCTAAGAACGAGGGGATGGCCTTGACCTTGTCCAGTGCCTCTGTCCTCCACAGCGGAGTGTAATGCGCAAAGCTTACCAGGTTCTATCCAGATCAGGCGCTGCCCTACCTTGCTACCTAGTGAGGAACCTTAACGAGTCTCCCAAACCCCAGAAAGCAAAGGCTGAGAAAGAAACTTGCTGTCATGACACCTTCCCCCCCAAGGAGTCTCCAAATTCCCCTTTACTGTCACACTGAAGACAGGTATTGAGGCAGCTTTTGGGGCGGCATGGCTCAAAACCTGTGTCCTCAGTCTGCACCTGCTGAGCGCGGACACCTCTCCTGAGACCGAGAGCCACTGAGGGCAGTGCCCGGCCAGCGCTGCTGCGCCTCTCCCAGGCCCACTGACCCTGGCCATTCAGTCACCCTCAGAAGCCAAGAAAGCCCCGCGCCTTCCGTGCAGCAATACAAATAAGCCTCTGTCCTTTTATCACAAACTGGAGCCATCACATTTCAATTTGTCATCTTCCCAAGCACTTCCTGCAACACACAAGCACGTCGGCCGTCTCCAGAAAAAGTGGCTCTTCCGCTTCCTGAAATCAGGTCCCCCACCTACCTGTCTCGCCGCAACTTGACTGCCTTGACCTCCGTGGAGAACTCTATCTCGATGACAGTCTTCTTCTTCAGGTCGTCCCAGATCATCACTGCGACACCAGAGAGACCCCGTGAGCACAGGGCCGGTGGCCCCGCACAGGCATCCCGCCCCAGTCGTCTGAGCAGCCGAGACGCAGCCGCCCTCCCACTCAGGACGCCCTGTGCCCATCCCAGCCATGTGTGCCCAGCACTCTCACACGTGCTGCACACGCTCACGCTCACACTCACACATGGGGTCTTCTCTGCTCCAGCAGCCCGTGCCCCGTGCTCAGGTGACTTCCCCACCCCTTGTGCTCCGGCCCGTCACTGACCCAAGGGAAGGCCCCACCATGAAGCCGGAAGCCTTGAGCCAGGGCTGGGACTTGGCACCTGGTCGTCCTCCTTCCCCCAAGCTCAGAAATGCCCCCCCCACCGCAGGACTTCACTGGGACGTGCCGAGGTCGCGCACGGACAGCCTCTGAGGTGGGCAGTGCTGACCAGCGGGGCCGGGGAAATGCGCGGGGGGTGCGGCGCGTCTCTCCCCTCTGCTCGCAGAGCCGCCCGTGCAGGCCGTAAGGAGGAGACGATCCCAGCGATCCCCACACCGAGGCCAATGCGAACCCTGAGGCCTAGTTCAGGTGTGACTTTTTTGCCAGGACAGACTAAGTGACCCAACACCCCAAATGAGCGAATTTAACAGCAGCCTACAAGAACTGCCAAGCTTGCTATTCAACACCATGAGGTTTATTCACTGCTGAAGAGGTTAATGGAGACGCATGGCTGCACAAAGATGAAGCAGAGAACTGTTTTCCTGCTCCAACCTTCCGACACCGGGCCCCCACCACCCGGGCCGAGGGCACCTCCGCTCCGGTCAGTGACTCGGAAGGAGGCTCCCTCTGGCCCCCCGGCCACCAAGGAGTTGCTGCCCCAACAAGGGCAGGCGGTGCACAGCACACAGAGCCCGCACGACCAGCGTTCACCTCCATTTTCAGAAATGCCTGGGAATGAGAGGGAGGCCCCAGCAGCAGTGCGAGTTCTCGCTCCCCGAAGATGAGGGACCGGACACACTGCCTGCATCGCAGGAGAAACCCTCAAGGCCTCAGGGCCGCCTCACTGCCACGCGCCAAACACTAAACGCACTGTCTTTAATGTGGCCCCTGACAGCAAACTTTTCTGTGTCTCCCTTACTTTATTTTTAAAGATTTATTTGTTTACTTTTAGCGATAGAGGAGGAGGGAGAGAGAAAGGGGGGAGAGAAACATCAGTGTGTGGTGGCCTCTTGCACGCCCCAGACTGGGGTACCTGGCCTGCAACCCAGGCATGTACCCTGACTGGGAATCAAACCGATGACCTTGGGTTCACAGGTTGGCGCTCAGTGCACTGAGCTACACTAGCCAGGGCCCTCCCTTACTTAGAAAGAGGCGGACCCTCTACACAGTAATGTCTTTAACCGCGCCCTCCCCCCAAAGTAACACCCTTACAACTAGAGCCACGTTGGTTTTCATGCTTCGTGGCGAATGCATTCCCGTCTCTGAGTCAGTGGCTCTGCAGGAAAGATAACCTCCCTCCGCCCTGCTTTAAAATAAACTTATGACCTTTACGAAGCTGGCCCACAGCAGAGCACCCAGAACAAAACAGGGTCCCCAGGCACAGGAGCATCAGAGACCAGGCACTCTTTCTGGAGGCTTCTTTCCCAGGGGCCAGTCCTTCACACTTCACAGGCCCACAGGGAGATCGAAGGGCCACAGACACAAGGATGTGCCACAGACTCCAAGACACAAGCACAGGTGAGACTCGACTGTGAGGCACACGGCGACCTTACCTTTGTTGGGAGGGTATTTTGGTTTTTTCCCACCACCAACTAATGCTAAATAGTTGCAGCGGAATAACATTTCGACATGGCCAACTCCTCCTTCCAGAAACTCTGAAATGATATGAAAAAGAGGTTAGTATGCCCACTTCACAATTTTACAAAAGAGGAGAAAAAGAGGTGAACGTCACAACTGGCACTGGACTCGTGCTCAGCAGCTCAGGGCATCTGAGTGCGGTCAGAATCGAGAGTGGTGACGGGCGGGAGGACGGGTCAGCTCGTGCTCCAGACCGTCCCGCACCCGCCACCGGTTCCCTGTGCGAGTGCCGAGCACACAGCACCCTAAGGCCTACACCCCCGTTTTAAGGGGTAGCCAAGTCTGTAGGCAGAGAAGCAAGCCAAATGGTTTAGTGCAAAACCCGAGTTTTTTAAACAACCATTTGACCACATCTTCCCCCGAAGCTGGCAGTGCTCAATGGTGCGCATGCACGAGTGAGTCTGAGGGAGATAAACGCCAGCAGATTCTCCGAGGACACGAGCCCCCATGAGGAGCCCCAGCAGGGCCTTCTCCATCTCCCCAGCCTCGGGCCCTTGGGACAGGCAGGGCACAGCCAAGGGCCAGTGAGGAAGCAGCTTCTAGAAGTCAGCGGCTGGCCCAAGAACCAACTTCTACCTGTGTGGTTGTAGCTGTACAAGTTGATTCCAAACTTCATCAGGTTACTCCATGAAAAATTTAAAACTCAGGCCTAGTAGAAACCCTAGTACTAAATATTCCATATTATCCCTAATGGAAACAGTTTTTCTTTCAAATAATTTAATAGTCCTCTAACACAGGCTACCTCAGAGTAATTCTGGCTCAAACAGGATACGGCCCCAATCCAATTCCAAACGAGTACAACGGTTCCCCTCTCTGCCAGGTGTACGGCTTCAGGCCTGGAACCCCCGGGCTCCTTCACCCTGCAGCGCAGGACACCGCTGCAGTGCTGCGGACACCGCCCTGGTTCCCACGCCCCAGCAGCAGGGAGACTGTCTGCCAGCTAACACCGGGCCTTGGCTGACAGACTGGCGGAGGCCAGAGCTCAGGAGCACGTCTGATAACCTGCTAGTCAACGGGAGCAGACCCCCACCACCGGGGAAAGGATACCGTCTTCAACAGAGACCCCCGGGAAAACCAGATGTCCACCTGCAAAGCATGAGGTTGGGCCCTGAACTTACACCGTGTGTGAAAACTAACTGAAAATGGGATAAAGACCGAAACGTACGCCATGACACAAAACGACAAAACTCCTAGAGGAAGAGCGGTGAGACCACCATGACTCTGGATGTGGCGATGCCTTCCTGAATATGACGTCAAAAGCACAGGCAACAAAAGCAAAAACAGACAGATGGGATGACAGTGCACTCAAAACCCTCTGTGCCTCAAAGGACATAATCAACAAGGTGAGAAAGTGACCTGGAGGGCGGAAGAGAGACCTGCAGCCCGTGCGCCTGACCAGGGTGAGTGCGTAGAATGTGAACAGAATTCCTGCGACGCGACACCAACAGACACCAAACAACCCGACGGGAAAACGGGCCCAGGACCTGGGCAGACACTTCCCCAAAGATGACAAGTGCGTCCACATACACGAGAGAAGGGGCCCCACAACACTGTGCATCCGAGAAAGGCCAGCAAGCCACCAGGAGGCACCTGGCACCTCACAGCCACTAGGGCGGCCGCGTTTGCAGCAGAAAATCGTGAGTGTGGACAAAGGTGTGGAGAAGCAGGAGGCCCGCGCACTGGGGGCACAGCTGCTACCGCGGACAGTACGGCGAGTCTCTGAAAGTTAAAACTGGGCCCCGGCTGGTTGGACTGTCACCCCACACACCAGAAGGCTACGGGTTCAACCCTGGTCGGGCATGTACAGGAGGGAACCAATAGATGCTTTTCTCTCTCTCACCCTTCCACTCTTCCTAAAATAAATAAACACATATCTTTAAAATTTTTTGAAGATTAAAAATAGGGCCCTGGCCGGGTGGCTCAGCTAGTTCCTATACACTGAGGTTGCAAGTTAGATCCCTGGTCAGGGCACATGCACCACACGACCGATAAATGCGTAAATAAAGGGAACAACAAATGGGTGCTCCCCTCTCTCTCTAAAAAAATCTATTTAAAAAGTTAAAAACAGAGCCATGACATACCCAGCAATCCCACTTCTTAGCACAGTTTTCAAAAGAAGTGAAAGGTCTCGAAGAGACCACCTCACGCCCATGTTTATACAGCCTCACTCCCCACAGCCACAAGGGAGAAGCAACCCACGCCTGCAGAGGCATGAACAACACGCGGTCTCGCCACAGGACGAATTCTGTGCAGCCTTAGAAAGGGAGGACTTTCTGGCAAACGGCACAGTGCAGGTGAGGCTCGCAGACATCGTGCCCAGTGAGATCAGACAGCGACAAAGGGACAAACACCGTCCGCTTTGCCACAGCCCAGCAATCAGCTCACTCCCCTCCATCGCATGTGCCTCCCTTTATCTCCAGCCCGATGTGTGGGGGGCGACCACCTGGGGTGGGAGGCCCACACGGCCCTATGAAGTTGGATGTAACGAGGAGCGTCGGTGCGGGCCAGCCCCGGGCACTGTCAGCCAGGCAGGTGGCTGGGCAGGCCGAGCCGGGAGCTGTGCCCAAAGAGGCCGCCTCTCACTTCCGGGCACCTGGTGTGGCTCAGCAAGGTCCCTGCCCAGCCTGTTCCTCAGTGGATCCCCAGCCCCTGGTGCAGCCCCCAAGGCCAGAAGATGCCTGACCACCACCCCAGGGGCTCACCTCCACCTTGGTCACGTGAGATCCCCTTAGTCCCTGCTCCCTGTGCACCGTGGAAAGTGCACCGTCAAGAATCTTAGCAGCAAACCCGCAAGCTGAGTTCACGCTGCAGCGCAGCAACAGCCAACCTCTAACTGACCTGTGCAAGGGCTCTGCGTTTATGGCAAACTTCTCTTCGCTGTGGGAAACAGTTAATATGCTAACCACCTCTGTAACTCCTAAATTTCCAGAATTTAGGTACAAAATATCAAAATAACTTGTAACTACTTGTCTGTATAAAGCAGCGTTGTCTTAACTCACTACGTAACCGCCACAGAAGGAACGGCAGATGGTGGGCAGCTAACTGCAGTCTCCCAGCCCACCTCCAGCAAACCGACTATGACCCCACTGCTCCTCTTCTAGCTCGTCCATCTCTGCAGTCACCTTGGGAGGCTGGTTACCCTCATCTTACGTAAAGGAACTGAGGCCAAGGGAAGGTGAAAAACTTGCCCAAGCTCGCACAGCAACCTGGGAAGGGCCAGGGCCAAGATCGGGGTCTAAGCAGTGCGGGTCTCGAGTCTGGGCTTTCACTGCCAGGTTGTGCGTCGTCTTCGAGTGCATGGGAGTCGGAGCTCAGCTTATAAATCGCACGCCCACGTGCACAGCACCACTGACTGGTTCACACACAAGCGCTTCATTTGACAAAGAGATTCCAATAAAAAAAAAAACAAACCCTGAAAACCTCTGAGGTCAACCTCCGAGAGTTTGTCAACTGCTGTGCCCAAGAACTTCTGAAACGGGCAATGCCCGACTCCAAAGTCGGGGGCACTGCTCTCTCTTTCCTTATTCTATCGAATGAAAAATGGTAACAGCCGACGACACAACAATAGCCATCCGGTGTGAATGAAATCAAAATCATATTTATTTTTTTGTCAGATTGGCAAGAAATACATAGGGTCTGGCAGAAGTAACTCCTGATAGAATGTGGCTGGTGTAATCATTCATAGTTCTAATTTGAACATGTCACCTGCAATGCCACGTGGTGTGCCTGAGTGTGAGAGGGTATGTTACAGAGTCACAAGTGTACGAACTGGTAGTAAAAAGGGGTGTTGTTGGTGCCAGCCCTGTGCCCTGGTGCACCGCACAATCTGAGCAACCAGCCTCCGTGTGCGTGGGACGAGAGCCGCCGGTGGAGGGTGGAAGGGGCTGTTCAGTGGGTGGGGCACCAGACTGCAGTGACCTCCTCTCACAGATGAGGGACTTCCAGCATCAGAACACACAACCCATACACTGGATAAAAAACAGGACCACAAGTGCAGGAAGAAAGAGGGTGTTTCTCGCTTTCTACAGTTCACCTGAGACTGGTCCCTCCACTGGCAGTGCCGGATTCTCCCGGCAGGACCAGGAAACACTAAAAGCTTAAGAAAAATATATACGAGAAAAAAACCCAAACTGAACAAATTCTATTGGCAAACTCAACATTTTTCCCTGTCAAATGAGAAAACTACCACCATCATTTTATGTTACTAACAGAGCTCCTGCTTCTAGCTTGTATTCCCTGAAAACAACTTTACTGCCACAAGTAACTTTACTGCCACAAGTAACGTTACGACAGTGCGGCCGCTTGCCGGAGTGAGGAGTCCTGTCCGCTGGGGTTAAACACGCCGTCTGAGCTCTCCGCCACTGCACAGCCACCGGAAGAGTGAAAACCGCCCAGCCCACTCTCCTCGTCCTCCCACCGGGGAGACAGACACTTCAGAGTGGGGTTTGCTGGGGAGATGCCCGGTGCCTGCTGAGCCGCAGCTGTGTCCTGGCCCTGCACAGGGTGAGCGCCCCGCCCGCAGAGGTGCAGCGGAAGGGAGAGCACAGCTCCGTCCACGGGAACAGACGACCACGAGCCCTGTTTCCTTCTCAAACCAGCTGCCCCCCTGCCTCCACCTGCAGGGCAGAGCTCGGACTCTGAGGGCTGGGAAAGGAGCGGAGCGGAACCCTGAAACTCTGGTTACTTCTTACCTTGTTTCTCTTTTTCCTTCAGTGGATCGGTGTTATAGACTCGGAATCCATTTTCCATCCCACAGGCAAAGCACCCTGAAGTGAAAGAGACACATTAATCAGCTCCCTGGGGTCTCCACCCAGGACCCCAGGCCTACAGTGGCAAAGCAACGGGTCCAGAGAAGGTGGCCTCTCCTGAGAGCACCTGCAGACGCCCAGAGCACGCGGACACGGTGCGCACGCCACACCACACCACTCTCCCGGCACGGTGCGTGCCACTCTCCCGGCACGGTGCACACCACTCTCCCGGCACGGCACCGCACGGCAGTGTGGTTTGCTGTCCGCCATGGGAGGGAGCCCCTGGAGCCGCTCACTCCCACCTCCCACGCAGGGCCCTTCCGGGGGCTCCCGTGGGCGAGGCTCCACTTCAAGTACTTCATTCCAGTGAGAGGGGCTCACTGCGGACCTGCACGGGCCCCTGTGCATTTCTGTCAACACGTGTCTCTAACAGTCACCGCAGGCTTTCTAGTTCCAAACACCTCCGAGTACCGTGTCAGGGACCAAGTCACAGAGAGAAAACAGCAAACAGGGAAGTGCACGTGTCCTGCAGGAGCATCGCAGCAGGACAGACAGAGCAGGCTGGGGAGGGAGCAAAGGCCTGCCACAGCACAGTCTCCCACAAGGCGGGTGTGAGGACTCCTGTGACCGCACTCCCACCTGCGAAGAATCCCAACTCCTTAAATCCCTGCTGTGGTCACCAGGAGGGACCTGGGACACCATGTCCAAGTCATACACCAGGTTACCAATTAAAAGCACCGTGCCCTGGCTGGTGTGGATCACTGGACTGAGTGCTGGCCTGCCAACCGAAAAGTTGCTGGTCTGATTCCCAGTCAGGGCACAGGCCTGGACTGCAGGCCCCCAACAGAGGGCACGCGAGAGGCACCCACACACTGATGATCTCTCCCTTTCTTTCTCCCTCCCTTCCCCTCTCTCTAAAAGTAAATAAAAATTAGGGAAACACTTTTAAAAAGCACCATAAGGAACTCAAGAAAGCACCCCAGTTTCAAGACAATCCTGTACCCTGTACTTTGTTTGCTGCGAGTGGGACCCAAAACCCCACTAATCTTAAACACGACCAGGCCCAGCGGCTGGTCCACACAAAACTTGTGGCTGGAGGGGAGACCAAGCCTCCGACTCTTGCTCACGAGGCCACGCAGAGCCTCCCAGCGACGCACAGCTGGTGGCAGCGCTGGGGCCTCTTCCACGCTCATCACTGGCTCCCAGCTCTGGAACCGCGTCACCCCATGCTGGCTGCCGCCCTTCCAAAGTGGAACTCAGGCTCACGCTCTTTTGTGCAAGTTACTTATAAACCTGCAGCACATGTGATTTAAGGACAAGGACATCGACCTGTGGCCCATGCTGTGCAGTAAACGCTGAGCTCTGAAATGCTCCTTGTCGGGGCCTGGAGTCGGAGACTCACTCAGAAGTGCCTTGTTACTTATTATCTCTTAACATACTCTGAGTTACAACTCCCGCTTTGTGTGACTGAAACCCGTCATCTGGACAGAGAGAGCAGACTTCACTCCTGGAAAATACAGAGACAGGAGTCAAATCTTTCCCCATCTCGCACAATTATTACAGCTTCCCCAAGTTTTAAGCCTGCATCTATCTTATTTGCTTTACCAGAACACATACACTTCTTACAAGACTTGTATAAAAATATACAAATAATTGCTACAAACCCAGAAGGAAAAGGCAGACAACCCGAGAGAAAAACGAGCAAAGGAGCTGGGCGTTTCACAACAGAGAATGTCCAAATCGTCGGTAAAAGTAAAGAACCGGGGGAACGCCGAAACAATCTCAAACACACCACGACACGGGCCACTGCCCACCTGCCACCCTGAGGGTCAACATGGAGCCTGAGGTGGGCGGGTGTGGAGCCAGGGGACTCAGCCCGATGGGGCGGGGGACCACACACCCACCTCGGGACACTGGCGGCACTGTCTCCTCCAGGAATGACAACACCTGTTCGCCAGAGGACACGTATCAGGACCTCGCAGTGGCACTGGGACACTCGGAGTAGCCACAGGCTGGAACCGACCCAAATGCCCACAGACTAGAGTGAGTGGTAGCGATACAGTCACATGAAGAGACACTACACACCAAGAATGACCTGCGACTACACTCGGCAGTGAGGGGAGGAGTCTCACAAACACGGTGCCACATAAAAAAGGCAGACGCAGAAACAAAGTGCTCTTGGTGGCAAAACCACTCTGCGCCACTGGAAGCCACAGTGAGTGGAAGGAGCCCAGGTAGCCGGTGTGTCCAGTGTCTCAGCCTGCACTCTCGACACCCCGCACTCTTCTGTAAGTGCAGCAGACGGCGACACAAAGCGGAAAGGCTGGAAACCACTTTCTGAGGAGGCTACGCATCGTGCTTGCTGTTTTTTTAAACTGATTTTACTTGGTTATTATATGAAATGTGGCATTCACCTTCACATCCTTGCTATTTTAACAAAACATTTTCCAGAAAAACACTGAGCCCAACAGCCGGCAGCCGTGCACACCCCTGGGCAGCTGGCCATGCAAGAGCAGAGGACACGGGAACCACAGAGGGCGCTCTTCCCTACCGGGAGGACCTGCAGTCCACGCACGGCGCCCCCGCACCCACAGGGGAGAACTACAGCGAAGCAGCCCAGAGTCAGTGTGCGGCCTCAGGGCTCAGTCCTGGCCGCACAGGCCAGTGCCCGGACGGTGTAGCCCGGACGGTGTAGACAGAAGTGCAGGCAGCCAGGCCCCAGACCACAAGCACCAACTCTTAGGGTCCTGACGGCCCCAGCCAAGGCTGCCTCTGAAAAAAGACCAGTCAAAACCTTAAATAATTTAAAATCATGAGCAAATGCCCTTTTAAAAATCGTCCTGGCTGGCATGGTTCAGTGGACTGAGCACTGGCCTGAGGATCAAAGGGTCACCAGTTTGATTCCCAGTCAGGGCACACACCTGGGTTGTGGGCCAGGTCCCCAGTAGGGGGCTTGTGAGAGACTCCCACACATGGATGTTTCCCAGTCTTTCTCCCTCTTCTCCCTTCTCTCTAAAATAAATAAATAAATAAAATTATTTCTAAGCCTAAAATTGCAATAAGTATTAAAAACGCTGAGTGAAAATTAAAAATCAAAAAAGAAAAATTAAAAATCAGTGTAAGTAAAAACAAAATGTAAAAAAATCAATCACGTGGCAGAAAATTACAAGACAGTAACCTAAGGTAACCTCAAGCTTAAGTATAAAACCACATTTCTTGTGTTTTTAAAAAACACTGTGAGCTTTACTTATAATTTCTTACAATGAAATGAGCCGGTTTTACAAAAGACTATTTTTCAGACAATTGAAACATGTCTATTTAAAAGCCAAAGCTGTACTTTTAGTCTTTTAAAGTCTTTAATAAGATATTATAAAAACATAAACTTCACTGATTTCTTAAGTCATTAGCATCATTTGAGTCACAATTATTACACTAAAACTTAATACAAAAACTCCTCCTTTGGTGTTCAGGCAGGCAGGTAGGTATATAAGAATGATTTTCTTGCATTAAATGTCTGCAAGTCAGTAAGCTTTTCGCTTTTGAGTGTTTTTTAATTTTTTTCTTTCATTGATTCTAGAGAGAAGGGAGTAGAGAAAGAGGGAGAGAGAGAGAAGTATTGATGGGCCTCTTACCTGCAACCCAGGCAGGTGCCCCAACCAGCGATTGAACCCACAAGCCTTTCGGTTTGCAGGATGTCACCCTAGCTACTGAGCGCACGGCCAGGGCCTGAGTGTTTTCCTTAGCTACTTATGGGGCCCTTGTGGTCAGCCAGACCCCTCTTTTCATTGAACGCGTTTTTATTAAGGAGTTGTTATATCACCGTTAACTTATTGAGTTCTCAATTACAAAAACTTATTAAAAAACCCACTGGTCTTCTCCTGGTTATCTAAGCCCAAAACGTTCAGCCACAAATTACTGCCCAATGTCCAACATCTGGACCCAAACGGGTCCGCACTTGCCATCACCTTCTTCCCCACCCCCTCCTGCTTTCCACCGTCCGTCTCACCACGGCCTCCTCCGGGAGGCCAAGGGCCAGGAGTGAACCTACTTCGATCTCGCACACCTCCGCCCCCAGCTCGTTGGTCCCCGATGCCCGCGAGATCTGCCTCGACACAGGCGCAGCGCAAGCAATCACCGCGCCGTCCTGAAGAGCCCGCTCTGATTCTCTCCAAAACGAAGCTGCCGAAGCCAGCCGGGAAGAGCGCCTTCTCTCCTGGAACGGCAGCTGCCAGCCCTTGTCCTCCCGAAATGAAGCCCAGTCGGCCCGCAGCGGAGACGCGACTCCAGAGCCCAGGCCCTGCGGGCCTCGCCAGAGCAGTTTAAATCAAAATGCGAGGAAAAAAAAAATACGATTTTCCTCTCTGGCACTCAGCTGTCAACTTCTAAACACACACACACACACACACACACCCCCACCCCCCGGGAGGAGAAGGTGTTCCTTCAGTGACATTTTCTGATTAAGACCAACAAAAAGACACCCAACCGGGGCCGCGAGAATGCTCAATATAAAGTGTAAGGAGGGGCCGGGGCCCGCGCAGCTCCGCGGGCAGGAGCGTCCTCCCGCGACCGCAAGGTGGCGGCTCGATCCCAGCCGGGGCCCGCGCTTGGGTCGCGGTTCGATGCCCTGTCCGCGCTCGTTCCTGCGGCCGCCAAACAACTGCGCTCGGGGGAATCTGAGATCTTCCCCAAGGCGTCTGCTATCAGCCTGGCTCAAACAAACTCTCGTAGAAGTTAAAAAAAAAAAAGTGGGAGTAAGCAGCTGGCTAGAAAGGGCAGCGGTTTTTAACAAAATGCAGCCAATTTGGTAAAGTTCCCTAACGAGCGCAGGGGGGGGGGGGACGAGTTTTGAGGAAGACCCGAAGACGTGCCATGTTAAGAATCCGATTACGGTCAAATCCAGGTGGGAGTCCACGGGCCCGGAAGGCCGGCCCGCGCGGCCCAGAGCGGGGTCCCGCTAGACTCGCGCGGGTAGCCCTAAGCAGGGGCTCTGAGCAGAGCGCGGCCGGGAGGGGGCGGCCGGACAGGCAGCAGCCGCCGCCCCGAGGGTCGCGAAAGGCCGGGAGGGAGGGATCCACTGCGGCCCGCATACCGGCTGGGAGTGAGAGCGGCGGCGTAAGGGCGGGGCGCGGAGCCAGGCCAGGCACACCCCGGGGCGGCCCGGGCGAGTGGGGGACTCCGGGAGAAGAGGCCCGCCGGCCGGGGGCTCCGGGGGCTCCGGGGGCTCCGGGGGCTCCGGGGGCGGGGCCGGGCGCGCTCACCGTGGTCCTGGTTGAAGCCGGCGTAGAGCAACCCGTTGCCATGCGGGTTGCACGGCAGGAGATTCATGGCGCCGCCAGGGAGGGTCTCCGCTCGTCAGCGCCGCATACCGCTCAGGGTGGCCCGACGCGGGTCCGGTCAGGCCGCCTCCGAGGCCGCCGCGGCAGGAAGCTAGCGGCGGACGTGCTGCGTGCGTACGTGAGTGCGTGCGTGCGCTCAGCAATGGAGCTGCCCAGCGCCGAAGAAATCCACCCGGTTGGCCAGGGCTGGGAGGGGGCGCGGAGAGCGTCCCGTGCGTGGGGAGGGGCCTGGGCAGGGGGGTGGGGCCTGGGCAGGGGGGTGGGGCCTGGGCAGGGGGTGGGGCCTGGGCAGAGGGGTGGGGCCTGGGCAGAGGGGTGGGGCCTGGGCAGAGGGGTGGGACCTGGGCGGAAGGGGTACATCTGCCAGGTGAGAGGAGTCCCTGAGGGTAGCGCTTCAGTGGGGCGGAGGGGAGCTAGGGAGAGGGGGAGTCGAAGTGGTGGCCGTGTCCCTGGCCCTTCAGAGCAGGCAGGGCCCGGAGCCCCCGGAAATCACACGCCCCATTGTAACCCCGTTTTCTGGAAGAAGACGGAAAACGTGACTCACCTGACCCCCATTCCTGGGAGCCAACGGCCCATTCTCCCTTCTGGAGGGTACACTAGGGTTTGAGCCAGTGTGTTGGTTTGTCATTACATATTTCCATATTCAAACCCAACTTTCTTTTTTTAAATATATTTTATTAATTATGCCATTATAGTTGTTCTATTCCCCCCTTCATTCCCCTCCACCCTGCACACCCCTCCCCCACCGTTCCCCCCTTTAGTTTATGACCATGTGTCTCAAGTTCTTTAGATTCTATATTTCTCTTACTATTCTTGTCCTCCCCCTGTCTATTTTTTACGTACCGTCTATGCTACTTATTTTCTGTACCTTCTCCCCCCTTCTCCTCCTCCCACTCCCGTTGCTAACCCTCCATGTGATCTTCATTTCTATGGTTCTGCTCCTGATCTAGCTATCCTCTTAGTTTGCTTTTGTTTTAGGTGTAGTTGTTAATAACTGTGAGTTTGCTGTCCTTTCACTGTTCATCTTTTTTATCTTCTTTTTCTTGGATAAATCCCTTTAACATCTCATATAATAAGGGCTTGGTGATGATGAACTCCTTGAGTTTGATCTTATCTGAGAAGCACTTTATCTGTCCTTCCATTCTAAATGAAAGCTTTGCTGGATAGATCAATCTTGGATGTAGGTCTTTGGATTTCATGATTTGGAATACCTCTTTCCAGCCCCTTCTTGAGAAATCCACTGACAGTCTGATGGGAACTCCTTTGTAGGTGACAGTCCCCTTAGCTCTTGCTGCTTCTAGGATTCTCTCCTTCATTTGAATCTTGGCTAATGTAATGATGATGTGCCTTGGTGTGTTTCTTCTTGGGTCCAACTTCTTTGGGACTCTCTGAGCTTCCTGGATTTCCTGGAAGTCTATTTCCTTTTCCAGATTGGGGAAATTCTTTATTACGTGTTCAAATAAGTTTTCCACTTGTGGTTGTTCCTCTTCCCCTTCTGGTACCCCTATAATTCGGATGTTGGAACGTTTAAAGATGTCCTGGAGGTTCCTAAGCCTCTCCTCATTTTTTTAAATTCTTGTTTCTTCATCCTTTTCTGTTTGGTCATTTTTTTTCCTCCTTCTGGTCCACTCCTTTGATTCGAGTCCCAGTTTCCTTTCCATCACTATTGGTTTCCTGTGTATTTCCCTTCATTTCAATTAGTTTAGTCTTCATATGTTCCTGTAATTTGTGACTAAAATCAACCAGTTCTGTGAGCATCCTGATCACCAGTGTTTTGAACTGTGCATCTGAAAGTTTGGCTATTTCTTCATCACTTAGATTTATCGGCTCTGGGGCTCTGAGTTGTTCTTGAGCCATGTTTTTATCTGTTTGTGCCTGTTACGCATGAGGAGTGGAGCCTTAGTTGTTCACCAGGGCGGGGCCACCCAGGTCACTGGTTTGTGACGCTGTATGTGGGGGCGGGGTCAGAGAGGGACAATGGCGGTCCCCTCTGCCACTTCCTACCACTGGGGCCTGCGTGTTCGTCTCACTGCTCGCTCCTTCACCGGTTTATCTGCGCGAGAATGTGTGACCGTGATCAGCCCTCAGTGGGTCCGCCCGCTTCTCCGCACCTGGGTCACGCGCCCGGGTTGGTCTGGTGGATCTTTCCTGCCTGACCCCACTCTGCTGCTGGCTCTGCCCCTCTTACCGGTTTGGCTGAAGGTTTCGTTGTTGTCATACTTCCATGTAGTTCAATTTTCTGTGGTTTGGCTGCGTTTTTGTTGCTAAAACTTTGTTGTTTTTAAACTTGGTTGTGGGGGAAGGTGCAGTGCTTCCACCTACGCCTCCATCTTGGTGGAGGTCCGCAACTTTCTCTTTGTAGGAGAAAAAAACACCATCTCCTGCTTTGGCAATGCAGGTCACAGAAAGTAGGCTCCACAGACCCCTCCCAGACACGCCCAGGGGCCCTGTGAGCCTGGGGTCTCCCCTAGACACAGGGGTACTCCGTGAGACGTCTTTGTATATTATGGGGTACTTGAAGAGTTAAAAGACAATGAGGACAAAAGGTGTTTTGTGCAAGGCCAAGGGAATGTATATAGCCCCCTGTGGATAAGCCAGGACACTCCACCCACACAGCCAGGTCCCCAGTCACCTCACACAGCCTTCCCATGTCCTGTCCAGCACCCTCCTACGAAGATGCTGCCCCCTCCCCCACAGGTTTCTTGCAGGTGGGAAGTCTCCCTCATTGCAGTGAGTCGGCTGGCCCTAGTGGTCTCTGATGGCTCCTCTGGGCTGCCTTACCTAGGAGGGGCGAGGGCTGGAGCGACAGCAACTGCTGTGGGGCAGGGTGGACTTTGGAGCTCCTCCTTTTTGCCTTGGACTTCCTCTCCACTAAGACTCAGAGGCCTTCAGGTCTAGGCAGGCTCCATCACTGTCATGGAAAAGTGGAGCAAAAGAAGCCTCATTCTGCTCTTGAGTTCTACAGGGAGGTGGGGAAAAGATGGTAGTATGATTGTAAAAGCCAAAACTTTGATTGGCAGGAACCAGCCTTTTTTTAGAAGATAGACAGGTATATGAAAATCCAAGGATCTAAAGAAAGAGGGCCCAGAAGGGTCCTAAGTGAGGAGGGAGGCAGGGCCAGTGGGGGACACAGATTCCCTGGGCGCCTGACCTTCACCAGGGTCTGGAACAGGGTAAGCCACCTGCCTGCTGCTCAGAGAAGCTGCCAGAAGTGCTCACCTGCCCACTGCACAGCAGAGCACCCGCCGCACAGCTGCCTCATCCCAGTTACTGTTTCCGAGTTACTGTTTGGCTAGCGCTGCTCCTCGATAGTTCTGCAACCTGAGAACAGGGCTATGGGGGAAGGGAAGGCCCCGGGAACCCACATGGACGTAGTCGGGGGAGCGAGCGAACCGAGTGACCTGGGTTCCGCCCGGGCTCCTGCCCACTGTTCTCCCTGAACGGCTCTCCTCAGCTCCCCAACCCATGCAGCTTCTGTTCCTCCTTACGTTCACTTTTCTTCCACTTTTCCCTTATTGAATTTATTGGGGTGACCCTGGTTCACAGAATTATGCAGGTTTCACTTTGATGAAGCTGTTCCCCTGCGAATGGAAGCATCTATAGCTCTGTCTTTTTGGGAAAACAAACATCATCAAGCCCGTAGTTAACATTTTCCCAGATTCAATATTTGCTGAGATGATTCCTCGACACGGCAAGCGCTCAGTCCGGGAAGTCACCCAGCGTTCAGTAATTGTCACCAGGGAGTTGACATAATTGCACGTATTTTGAATCTCAACACTGGAAGAGAGGATCACAAACATCTGGGACGCGATGGCGCGCTCTTTGCCGGCAGCAAGGGCCATGAGACAAAGTGACAAAGGACAAGGTTGGAGAGCTGCTTGCTTCAGGGCTCAGCTTACATTTTAATGATATTTTCTGCATAACTTGCCACCAAAACATGCATGCTTCTAATTAGCACATTCTGTATTAGGGTCTATTGTTTTTATTTCACACAAATGCCACTTTGATCTGCTGTGGCACTTCCTCCTGTGAAGTGTAACCTATGTCCTTGTCATATGAGTGTCCTAAATTTGTCCTCTCCCAATTCTGGAGGCCAGCGTTCGAAATCCAGGTGTGGGCAGGGCCTTGCTTCACCCAGAGTTGCCAGGGCGGAGGGGGCTCCCTCCCGCCTCTTCCAGCTCCCGGTGACCCCAGGTGGCCTCGTCTGCAGAAGACTGGGGCCTCCGGGCAGCCGGTGTGTTCTGTGAGATTGCCTGTCACAAAGGCCACGGGAACTTCATTATAGTCCTTCCAGGACACCAGGGGTCATCCCAGGGCACCATCAATTAAGAAAACAAAGAGGAAACAGAAGGGGGAGCAGAGCGCTGTTCGGCCCAGTTCAGTCTGGCAGCCAGGGGACCGGCCCCAGTAGCTACCACTGCCCGCGGCTCCACACCTTCCCTTCCCTGCGGCTCTGAGATACGGGCTCTTTGAAGGGGGAGGAGGTGCTGTGGGTGTGCGCACTCTCTCTGGACCTTGCCCTGTCTCTCCTGGTTGCAAATGGGGGAGAGATGCCCCACCTGCCTCTTTCAGTGTTCGCGGTCAGCAGGTCAGCCCTTCTCTCTCTCCACCCACTGCCCAGCACGGGTGGCACCGCCCCAGCAGAGTATCCTCACGGGCCAGCAGCTCCCAGAGAGGCACCGTCCCCTGCTGTCCATTTGCCTGCTCCCCTGTGGACGTTTGTCCCTGTCCTGTCTGGCTTTAGGCCTTCAGTGGCCATCGGTGGCCATGCTCATTGTCCCTCCCTCTTTGAATAAAGGTGTTGCTTCTCATTCTAGGGTCCCTTAAATATCTAAAAATCTATAAATTATTAACAGAAACTGAGGACATCTGGGCATTTCCTCATCTCAAGTTATTTTTTGAATCCTTCCTTCTAACCTCCAGCTGCCACTGAGAGACAGCAAAGGGGTACACCGGGCGTGAGAGACTCTTTCTGTCACTTGCGGTCACAGATAAGGACCTCTCTGTTGGGGCTGCCACCATGTGCGAGTGCACCGTGGGGCTGCAGGGGGCCTGTCCGAGTTTTGCAGACCCGCATCCTCAGCACAAGGTGGCTCTTTGACAAAGCGGCTCCAGCGGCACGGGTCACACGCTGTGTCCCGTGGGCCAGTGTGGGTCCCACTGCGTCGCTCACAGGCCCCTGTGGTGGGGGAGCCTCATGTGCACCAGGCCGGCTGTGGTTATACACGGGCTTTTGACTGCGCAGGAGGCCAGCACCCCAACCCTGTGTTGCTCGAGGGTTAACCGCACTGCCCGTTGTCTGCCTCTGACGTTCTTCTCAGGAAAGGAACCTTTTCCAGTAGATGACAGTTCAGGAACGAAGCCAGTCCCAGCACTGCTGTGGGGGCACCAGAGACAGGAGAGGAGGGGAATGAAGGGAAGGGCTGTAAAACACGCAGAGTCAGAAAGAAGCAGCCAGCGACTCCACCGTGAAACAGGCACACACTCCACTGCCCAGCAGCGTCCCCTCCTGGGACGTCTGCTGGCCGCTCTGGCCCTGCGGCCACCGACCTGGCTCAGTTCACTGGAACTAGAGGTATCTTTGGCATTTTCTTTTCTTAGCTTCATAACTTGTGGGATATTTTATACAAAACAATGCAGATTTACAGAAAAATATGCATATAAATCACTTCTTAATCCCAAAACGTAGTAAATAACATAGCAAAAAGCTTTATCAAACCCCTTTTGCACAGAAGCTGGGTGGGGTGCTGTGTGTGGGCAGTGTGTGTAGATTAGGGCTGGACGTGGAGGGGGGATGCGGAAAGGCCCCCCCTGGCGGGGCTCCTGGCGCCGGGGCTCCTGGCGACGACTCTGCTTCCCCCGGCGTTGCTGTCACAGTCCCCTGGCTTGGCACTCGGCACACGCACATCACCACTCTCATAAAAGCAGTTGTCTGAAGGGAAAAGTCGCACCGCAATCGTGGCATAGGTAACACTCAGAGCGCCGACGCTCCTGTCGTAAACACACGACTAACACAACAGCTTCATGCACACCCATGTGGAAACGCCGGAGGCGAACCGTGGGCCGGGTGTTTGCTGCACAGAGCAGCGCGGTCGCCGTGCGGCGTGGGCCGGCCCCAGTCCGATCTGGGATGGCCTCCCAGCCCCGGTGCAGCCTCTCCCAGAGGGTCTGGCAGGCGCCTCTCCTGAGCCTCCCTTAGGAGACTTTGCAGCTGTTTCTGGTGCAGCGCTTGGGCGGGCTCTGGGGCGGCCGGGCGGCCTTGCCTCTGCGAAGGCCGTTCCTCTTGTGGACGGAGCCGGCAGTGACGGAGTAGGAGCGGCCATGCATCATCCTGGCATTCAGGCCGTTGGCCATGGAGAAGGACTTCAGGTGGCTTCTCAGGGCTATGGGGAGTGGGAGCTTGTCCACCAGGTGCACAGGCGTGCAGGACACCACCGCACGGCAGCACAAGTCCTGCAGGCTCAGCACTTGGGAGGGAAGAGAAAACGGGCTGAGTTTCTGCCATCCCTGACGTGGCCACCGCGGGGCAGCCCGCCTGTTGCCCGTCTGCCCACCTTCCCTGGGGTTCCGGGGCGGGTGGGCCAGGGAACCAGGGCTGCCGCTCCCCACACGCCCATGAGCAGCCCCTGGCAGAGCTTGAGAGGTGTCGTCGCCTTAAACTCAGTTTACCCCCAAATCTGAGAGCCCACGTCCCTCCCCACTGGTCTGAGGGATGAGCAGACCTGGAGGGAGAGGGGTGTCTCCGTCTCAACCACGCAGGTGACGACGATCACCCGTGTCGTCAGCTTTGTGGAGGTGTGTTTGAGAACACCCTCGGAAGCACATGCTGCTGTTTCTGTCTCAGCTACATCATTCGTGGTGTGGGCCAGGTTCCCGCCCACACGAGGGCGAGGGTTCCCAGGGGCCGGCTGAGGAGGGGACCGAAATGGCAGCGCACCCCTCTGTGGTCACAGCAACTTCTGACCCTTGAAGGACTCGCAGAAGAAACACGACCCCGGGTTTGGCTCATTTTTAAATGCTTCAGAGAGAGGTTCTCAGCTGGGGGTGATTGTGAATCCCTGGACATCTGGCGCCATCTGGACGCACTGTGGGTTTCGCTACTGGAGGGCAGGGCCCCAGGGGCGGCGCTCAACACCCCGGGCACCGAGGACCATCCTGCCTGATGGGAGGGCTCTGGGGAGGGGCCTGACTTAGAAGAAGACTGCTGCTCAATCAGCAATGAGCTGCCAAGTCGGCGAATGTACATTTCGTCAACTTTGTCTTTTAAAAGCAAAACGCGGACAAGTTACTCAGAGGGAAACGGGTGTCTGACAATAGGTCTCCACACTTCAACACTGGGGCATTTGGATACTATGTTCCAACTGCGGGTTACATTCCAGCAAAACTATCCTGCGTACTTCTGTTTCTCGCAAACAGTGAGTGGAAGGGGAGTGGTTCCTAAGCAGATGAGCTCTCCCTGCAGCTGAGGGCATGGAGGTCTCTCGGCCGCCAAGCGCCTCGCGTGCACTGCCCTCGGGCCCGACTGTGCGGCTCGGGGTCCTGCCTCCTCGTGGATGCTGACGGCCTCCTGGTTACGGACGCTTTGCCCTCTGCCCGTGTGCAGATTTTGGAAGCCTCGCATGCACCCCCGACAAAGCTGTGAGTGCGATTCCCCGGAAGGGAACACATTACTCCTTGCGAGCGGACGCAGCGGGACCACCTGGCACCTACCCCTGCTCGGCCGCCAGAGCCGGTCCATCCCGTGCCGCAGGAGCACGATCCTGGCCAGCTCCGTGAAGGACTCGGTGATGTTGAAGTTGCACAGAGGGCTGACCTCGAAGAAGGTCACACCCAGGCGCTCCGCGTAGGCCTGGGCCTGCTCCGTGGGCACCTGCCGCTTGAAGGCCAGGTGCAGGCGGTTCCCCACCAGGATTTTAGGAACACCAGGAGCGTGCTGAAGGTCGAGAGAAAGGCAAGGAAGAGGGTCACTTGTGCGGGCTTTTGTCATCGGCACCAAGGGCATGTGGGGCGGATGGCACGCCCCCAAACTCACACGGACCCAGAACTTCGGGACGTGTCCTTGTTTGGAAATAGGATCTTTACAGACGTAGCTGGGGTGAGCCATGGAGCTGGCCACTGGTGTCCTCGTGAGAAGAGGACACAGAAAAGACAGCCAAGTAGCCACAGAGGCAGAGACAGCCGTGTGTCTGCTTTCCCAGGGCGCTGAGGGTGGTCGGCAGCCGCCGGAAGCCAGCGGAGACAGGAAGGACCCTCCTCCAGAACTTTGGGAGGGGGTGGCAGTCCTGCCGACACCTTGATTTTGGACTTGGGGCCCAGAAAATGTGAGAAAATAGATGTGTTGTTGAAGCCGCCTGGTTTATGGTGGTTTGTCACAGCGGCTGATGCAGTGGGTTTGGTCCCAGCCGCCTGCGCCCCCACCGGCTGTCCCGCTGGTCAGGGTGCCTGCAGCCAGCAGCCTGGTTGCCGTCCGGCCACCCACCCGACCACGGCAGGGCGGACTGAAGCTCCAGACCACATCCAGGGCCCTGGCAGCCTGGCTGGGCGTCCCCGCACCCAGGGGACCCGACGCCCTGCGGGCCGCCGCCCGGCCCTCCCTGTCGTCAAAGGCTTGTGCCCGGGCCCAGCTGCCCTGGCCCAACCCCCTCCAGCCCGAGCTGAGGGAGCTCTCGCCGCACCTCGTCGATCTCTTTGATCCAGCGGTCGATGCCGTCGAAGGACCAGCGGTTCGCGATGTCGTAGACCAGGATCACGCCCTGGGGGGAGGGGCCGGGTGACTGCACAGCAGAGGCCAGTGCAGGTCTGACCTCTGCCCAGCAGCAGACTCGCAGCAGCTGAGGCTGCATCTTCTAACATAAGCCTCTGTCTACCGAGGGTGGCAGTCCCGTGGTTATTTCCATTATTTCATAAGCTCATTGATAAGCCTGCCAACGTCAAAGTGCGTTGGGGACTAGAATGCAATACCCTTGTCCGCAAGCTGCTCCAGGGACACAGAGCTCGGGCGGACCTCAGGGTCAGCAGCTCAGGAGGAGCAGGGCCCCCCCCCACCTGGACGGGGTGCTCAGGCGCACACGCACAGACATGCACAGGATCATGAGCCTCCGTGGCACACGTGCACATGTATACACCCACACATGTATGTGCCAATCCGGGTGCATGCCTATGCACACGGGCGTGAACACATGCATACACACACAAACATGCATGTGTGCATAGTCACGCTTCACATGCCTGCACACATGTGCACACACAGCACTGGAGCCGGCCAAGGCCTTGAGCCGCCAACACTCCATAGCCCACTTTCGGACTCGGCTCAGTTCACACGCAGGGCTCGGCCGCCTTTTCCCCCGTCCACCCGAGAGCACCGATGGAGTGGGAGCTCCCACTCAGGGGTGTTACCTGTGCGCCCCGTGAGTAGGAGCGGAATATGGTGCAGAACCTCCCCTGCCCGGACGTGTCCCTGGAAGGGAAAGGTGGTGGAGATGGGTGAGACGTTGCTCCCTGTTCCTGGCAGCAGGGCTGCTGAGCCTGGGACAACTGTCCATCTGCGACCACGCCACCGAACATCTGGACCCCAGTGCAATGGCCACATGGTCCCCTGGAGTGACCTGGACATCAGGACGTCTTTCTGGGCTCATTGTCTAATTGTCATTGTGTAAGTTAAACTAGAAAAAATTGTGGTGGGTTTCAACACTGTAATTCTGACACTTAAATAAATCTAATGTAAGTTTCTAAAATTGTGTGGAATTTAAGACAGAGCTGTGTGGCGATGGCTGTCAGTCCAGGGGTAGGCTGAAGGATTTGGCAGGGTCCCTCGACGTCCATAAACTCTGAAGAATCTCAGCGAGCCCACACACACGTGGCCCTGCGTGGATCCTTTCGGACTGACCCAGGGGCACCGGGGCCCAGAAAGGCAGAGCGGAGCTCCAAGAGGCAGAAATCCAGACAAGGAACAGTGGTTCCCGGTGCTCTCGGGGCCAGCGGACCCTGTGGCTGGCTTTCTTCTTAGGGCAACATGGACACACATCTGTGTGTGCAATTAACACACCCATTTCCACGGGACACTCCTCAAGACAGGAAGTCCCCTGTGTGCCAGGAGTGTCCTCGCGTATGACAGCGTACATGAGGGCACATGTGCTGTTTTCTCCCTGTCCCCTGTGGGTGACCTGCCCCCCCTCCAAGACTCAGGAGAGCAGGGCCTGGGGCTCGGGAGAGGCCAGAGGCTAGAGAAGCACCTGGAGCAGGGAGGAGCCTGAGCAGAACCTCAGGGGCTGAGGCCTTGCCCACAGGTGGCAGCTGCTAGAAGGCCGTGGGCAAGGAGCGCAGCCCTGGAGACAGATGCATGTCCAGCTTTGCCCTGGGGCCTGTGGGGCTGCCACGCGAGGAGAGAGCTTTCCTGCCAGCCGGGGTGTCTGCACGACTGACCTGGCCCCTGTGCCAGGCCCTGCTCTCTGCACTGCTGGGGGTGCGTCCCAGGTGGGCACCCAGGAGAACCCCAAGATCCGGCTGGAGCCGCTGGGGCCTGGAGGCTTTTACCGCGACGGACTGCCCAGGCGAGACGCAGAGTTGGATGCCGAGAGCCCGGTTTGGATGGGTTCCCCCCTGGGCCAGGGCCAAAGCCCGACCACAGGACCGCCCGCTCCTTCAGGCCAGGCCAGGATGGAGAGAGGACCTTCCGGAAGGCTGAGCTCCGAGGTCGGGCGGCTCAGGGCTGGGGCGGGGCCCTGACTCACCAGAGCTGCAGCTTCACCCGCCGCCCGTCCAGCAGGATGGTGGTGGTCTTGTAGTCGATGCCTGTGGAAGGGGGGGGCTTGAATGCAGCCGGGCAGCAGAGTGAGTATCCCCCACCCTGCAGACACACAGTTTACCAGGTGAGGAGGGGGTGAGGCTGGGCCCTGGGAGTGGGTCTCCCCAGGTTGCTCACCCCCCCAGCTCACTGCCCCCATGCTCCTGTCCTCTGTTATCAGCAGAGGCTTCCGGGCCAGCACCTGGCCCCTGACGGGCCCTTGAGGTGGGTCCAGCAGGAGCCGGTGGCTCAGACTTGCCTTCAGCCCCACAGACTGTTCTGCAGCCTGAGGGCGGCCCCACCTCGGGCCTCTTGTCACTGCCCACCCTCCTCCGCCCTCCCTGGGACCCTGCCCCCGTGAGGGGCTAAAACAGGGACATGGCTACCCCCAAAGTGTCACATTGAGCGCAGGAAGTGAAATAGGTGGAACAGGATGCGAACGTCATGTCAACTGTGCAAGACAAACGTGTGTGTGTGTGTGTGTGTGTTTGCACATGCACAGGCGCCTGAGGACCAGACACAAGCCAGCACTAGAAATCTCTGGGTTGCAGGGTTTGGATAGGTTTTATTTTATTTTTTTTACAGCCTTTCTCTATTTTCAAGTTTTCCTCAGTGAGCACGGATTTCTTCTAGATCAGGAAAAAAAGCAATACTCGTTCTTTTAAAGGAGAAATACTCCTCCGCATTCGACCAGAAACCAATTTTCTGCCTCCGAGAACCCCATCCGTGTTCCTGGGCGGGTCGAGCCCATGCAAATAACTGGTACTCAGCGGGCGAGGAGGGCAGGGAAGCCGCACTGGGAGTCGGTGTTCCTACCGATGCCGATGCCGGCCCAAAGCCGGAAAGGGGAGCCCTTCCCCAAACAGACGCAACACCTGCCCGGACCCCAAGTTCCCAGCCACAAGGGTCCGTGTGCTGGAGCCGCTTCCCCGACAGACTTAGCGGAGGGGCCCTGAGGAGCTGGGCCTGGAAGGCGCTCTGGGACGTGCCCGACTTTGAATGCCGGCACCAGCGTGGCCAAATCGGGGACTGCAAACCTAGAGGGCAAGTGCTGGCAGGAAGGAGAGAGGCCCTGCAGGGGAGGGTCCGGTGGGGCAAAAGGCTGCTCCCACCTGCCACAAGGAAGACAGCGTTGCTTCCAAGTGCTTGCCTCCTGCTCCCTGGAAAGGTCTAGAATGTTAGACCTCCCCCCCCCCAAAAAAAAAAGCCACAAGAAAAAGAGTGTCACATTCAGGAAGTCTGCTGTCTTTAAAGCGGGTTGAGGGCGAAACAGTGAGCCTGGCGGGGCAACAGCCGATTTCGCCTCACGTTCTAGGGCTCCTCACCCAGGAGTTTAAGGCATAGATTCTGCAGGAAGTTTAGGTCAGTTTAGGCTTTCATGGGGCCTGGGGTTTAAGCTTTGGCCCCGCGAAATGGCTCCTTGGAGGGACTGACCACTGAGACTTCCCCTCCCCTTTAAGATCCCACTGCACTCGCTTCAAGTGCCAGAGCCCCTTTTCCCAGTGGCTGGCCTGCCTGGGCACAGGCACACACAGTAAATAGAATACATGGCCGCATCCAACGCATGGACACAATGCGTACATACGCACAGAGCTAATAAACGGAACATTAACTCTACAGTTGGTCAATTAACTTGGAAGTTGCCGGAAGATACCATATTTTTGGACAATAAGATGCCCTCTTTTACCATAGTTTTTGCTTCCAAAACTTTTTTCCTATTTTCCTCCTCTAAAACCGAGGTGCAGCTTATGGTGTGGACTCCAGGTGCACCTCGGTTTTAGAGGAGGAAAATGGTGGGGGAGTTTTGAAGCGAAAAATGTGGTTAAAAAAAAAGTGCGTCTTATAGTTAGAAAAAAATACAGTAGATAGTCTAACAACTTCAAAGTTATTTTGGGAAACATTTAGCTTTTCCTCCATTTCCATGAAGCAATAAAGACACTTGGGAATCTGCTTTTGAATCTGGGGGTAACTCGGGCCTATTCGCAGTCGGTGAGAGGCCCCGGTTCTGTCCTGCCCTGGGTGGGCTTCCTTGATTCAGAAAGCGCCCGCGGGAACTTATTATGGTTTAGCTCTGAACAATTCTTTAAAACTTCTCATAATGGTTTTTTGCAGCACCCTGTGAGTTTTTAAAACCATATTTCATTTTTCTTTTTGTCAAAGTCATGGACATGCACGGTCCCCAATGTCCCATGGTCGGGGGCCTGGGTGTCGGGGGCCTGTGCGGCAGCGGGCCCTGCGGTTCCCCAGCTCAGTCTTCGCTGGTCGTTTCTGCTGCCTGTACCTGCAGACCATGCGCCGTGCGCCTGCCCCCATGTCCTGGCCGCTCAGCGTTTGGCCTCGGTTGGCCTCCCGCTGTGAAGGGGAAAATGTTGTTCTGCCTCGCTGACACACCACCGGCCTCCCTCTCTGTGTCTGTCTGTCTCTCTCCCTCTTTCACTCACACAGGGTATAATTATGTTGCAATTTTGGCTATGTCAGTATTCAATTGAACGTCACTTTGACCAAGTAAACTATCCACAGCGAGTCCCGCGGGATACTGTGTTCATTGTTCCTTCACGCGCGACCTCGTGTTGTCACCGGAGTTAAGAAGCACCTGCTCATCCCCTTGGTTTCTCTGCATCTACCACCGATTCATCCCTGTAGTCACCCGTTGCCCGAGTCTCCTCTCCGCTCTTCCAACATCTGCGGGCACCTGTGCAGAGCGTCTGCCGCTTCCCTCTGCTCTGGGGCTTGGCGCCTGGGCCCCCCCTCCTGTTTCACCCGCGTCCCAGGTCTCCCCCTCTTGATTTACTCCTTCTTTTGTTTCTCTAGAAGGCTGCGTGGGAGAGAGTGTTTGGGACTTTGCACATCTGGTTGTCTTCGGTCTGCCCTCACTCTTCGCTGAGTTCTGATGGGCACACAGCTCAGGCGGGAAATAGCTTCCCTTCAGAACCGGCAAGCACTGTCTCGTCAAGGTCTGCCTTGTTCCTGCTGAGAAGTCAGATCTCAAACTGATTTTCCCTTTTAACGATGGCTTTTTAGACAGTGATGTTATTTATTTACTTTTAGAGAGAGGGGAGGGAGGGAGAGAAACACCACTGTGTGGGAGGTGCATGGCCTGGTTCCCTCTTGCGCACCCCCAGCTGGTGGACCTGGCCTGAAACTCTGGTCTGTGCTCTGCTCGGGAATCAAACCAGCGGCCTTTCGGTTCAGAGGCGGGCGCTCAGTCCCCGGAGCCGCACCAGCCGGGACTCAAACTGACGCTGGATCCTTTGAATACAAGCTGGCTTTTCCTCTTGGAAGGCATGGACAGAGCGGGTTTGGGAAGAAAGAAGAATGCGGAGAGATTCCCGAGTGTTGGGCGGGCACCTGCGTCTCAGCGAGGCGGACGGCAGACCTGCCCCGGCTGGCGGGCTCCAGGCTACAGCAAGTGCCTCTGTACTGCGCCACTCGGACAAGCCTTTTGTCTGCACCAAACACGCCCCGTCTGACAGGAACCCCAGGCACATGGTGACTGCAGGACGGGACGGAGGGCCTGATGCATGAGCGCTGCAGAAGATGCACTTGAACACCTTCCCAGAGCAAAGTGCACTGGCCTCCACATTTCAGAGCCTCACTGGCTGTGAACAAGCATTTAAACGATGATATAATGACTTAAACATTAACCGTCATCACTCAGAGCGAACTCAGTGACTCCTGCAGGTGGTCATTCCCTAGAACGGCCGAGCAAGCTGCCTGCCCTTCAGCGGATGCCTCAGGCCCAGGGACCGAAGGGCACTTTCCCAGAGCGGCGGGGGGTGTGGACCCACTGGGGCCTCGTGGTGGCCACTGCGTCAGCTGCCTTTAGGGTGGTGACTGGAGGCCTTTTTCCACGCCCCTCTGGTCAGCTCTGCGGCCCAGTACCAGAGACCTGGATTTCTGCACCTGGTAATTTGGGACCAACCAGGCAGGGCAGGGCAGGGCAGGCGGGTGAGGGGGAGGGTAAAGCGTGAAGAAACACTGCCCCCCGCTGGACGCTCAGGTTGTTCTCACCAGGTGGGAGAGGTGGGGCCAGAGGTGCACTGACCTTGCTGGGGCCGCCCACAGGCTCCCCAGGACTGTGAAGGCGCCGCAAGGAGAAGCTCTGTGTGCCTGGGATCAAATCCCAGTGCTGACGACCAGCTGCTGGCTCGTGCTCCCTGTGCCTCAGTTTCCCCTGCCGCCTGGCAGAACACATGTGCCTCAACCACTCGGCCCTGTGGGCCCCCCCTTCCCCCGCCCAGCAGCCTCAGCTCAGCCAGAGCCCCACCCCACCCCCGACCTCTGGGCCCCAAGAGACGGACTCTCCCGCCCAGTGGCACCTGCCGCTGGAAAATTCCCATCATTCCCTTCATGTTCAGGTTCAAAGTCCCACTGTGAGAAGAATCTCTTTTTTCTCATAAACGTATGCATTGAGCCGTACTTTTATTCTCCACCATGTTTTCTTCTGTTTGTTATTTCCTCTTCTGAATCACATGTTCCATTTTGGTTCGTGAGGAACTAACATTTTTGACAGTAAGGTCCGTGTTAGGGACGTTCACACTCCCGGCCCTCAGCTCGTTCACCAAGAGCTCTCTGTCCACCAGAAATAAAGTAAAAATACACAGGACAAGAGCTGTCGCATGTTCGAGCGAGTCAGAATAGAAGACAAGAAGAGATATAATTTTAGCCTTCTTTAAAAAAAAAAGTGCTGAGCCGGTCACTACACTTTTAGCTCCACGAGAAGAAGAAATAATTTAGTCTTCTACTTCAAGCCCCCCACCACCTGCTTGACTCTGCTCCAGTGAGGCGGCGGCATCACGCACTCCGTCACCCAGAGGATTTGCTTACGGCGTAGATACTGGTTAGACACTGACAAACGTACTCCTCTCTGAGAACCTGACTTTTGGGAAATGTGTCTTCTGTTGAATTAAAATCTCAGATGGACCCTGGCTGGTGTAGCTCAGTGGATTGAGCGCAGGCCGGGGAATCAAAGGACCGCGGTTCGATTCCCAGTCAGGGCACATGCCTG